TGCACCTGGCACGGGCACCGTAGGCAGCCCGTGCCCCTTTAAGGGGTCCGGGGCCGGGAGGGGGGCATACGAGTTTCCCTGGTGTTGGCCAGAGTGGCCACCAGGGAAAGCTGGGGAGGGCTAGCCTCCCACTAGTTCGAATTAAGGGGCTACACAGCCCTTAATTCAAACTAGTAAATTCGAACTAGGCTTAGTCCTCGTAGAATGAGGTTTACCTAGTTCGAACTAAGCGCTCCGCTAGTTTGAATTAAGTTCGAACTCGCGGAGCGCTCGTGTAGCGCCTATCAAAGTTAATTTGAACTAACGTCTGTTAGTTGGAATTAACTTTGTAGTGTAGGCATACCCTCAGATACATACAGAGAATTCAAAGTCCATATATCAGGTTCTTAGCAGCATTGGTGAGTTTGTTGGCTTGCAAGTCCCTCTGGAATACATCTACATCTGTAACAGGAAAAACTTAAAAAACAACAAACAGTCTAGTAGCATCTTAAAGACTAACTAGTTACAAGAAGCTGATAAGAACCATTACTTAGCACATGGAAAGGAAGATGACCAACACCAGATTCTTTCTGATTCTGTTATACAAAGCAAACTCTGAAGTTAGTCTTTTGAGCATAAAATTCAATGTACATACTACCCATGAATTTTAATTTTTCTGCCTAACCTATTGCTGGAATAAGAACAACAAAGAAAGTCCTGAATGCCAACTGAGATCAAGCTGTGAAAGGCAGGTATGCCAAAATCATCTGCACAAATGCGAGATGCAGGGGGGGAGGGGAAATGGGTGAGACTTCCTGGAGCAGGGGAGGGTGTGGATAGCCATTACAAAACCACTTTCAGATGAGGAGAAAGGATGGAAATGCACCCACCAGCTGGAAAAGATAGATGGTGGGCAAGGGGCAGGGCTGCTGCCCAGAGATGGAGAAATCACACACAACCCCTGGATAAGACATTAGTAAGTAGGTTGATTTTCCATGTTCATGTCACCACCGAAAGCATTTCACACCGATGCTGCAGATACTAGTCAATCTTATAGCTTGATCAACTAGGCTTCTACTTCATCCTAAATTCAGCCACAAGTTTGCCTTTTAAATTCTTATTTGCAAGCATATTCTATATTGAGAACTTTAATGTATCTACTGTTTCTGGGACTATTTACTGACAGCTGCTTTTGAGAAGTGAGCCTCTGGCCTCAGAGAGGCAGACACCACCTGAAGTAATCAGAGGGCACCAGTTCAAGTGTCCAGGGAAATGTGTGCTATTGGGTGGTGTATTCCAGTAGGAACTGCAGGTACTGCCTGCTGTAACACTGGAGCAGAGGACCAAGACATGAGCTGCAGTAGAGGGGCCTGAGGTAAAATGAAGTCATCCACATTTATGCTGATAGCTTTTATACTGAACCACACATTGTGTATATATCACATAAAGGCTCTAAGTTATCCATACATCATAGGGAACAATAAAGGGTTTGTATGTCTGTCCCTATTGTCAGCCTTTATAAAGAAGCTGAGGAACTAGTAAATTTGGAGTCTAGAATATCTGATCATCTTAGCCATAATCCTGAGAATGAAGGTTAGTTAGGTGAGGTGGGGAAGCTTGTACTGCTCTTGCCCATGTGGTGTCTGTTTTGTGGCTAAAGTTTTCATGACTGGCACTTCTCCAGTGAAATAAAATGCACGTTTAAAAGGTAAAAACTAAAAAAAATTGCTAGAGGTGTAAAATGGAGCTCAAATTCTGCTTTTGTTTTGCAGATGCAAACACAGTTTATAGCTACTTATCTAGGAGCGTCCTGATGCCATCTGTGGAGTTTAGCAATTTCCTTTCCCTCTTACTCTAGCAGCTGAGAGTCTCAGCAGCACAAGAATCGTTGCCTGGATACTCAATCTTCTTTCTGCATTAACTGATGGAAGCGTAAGCTCAATTTTGGTAACTTGATCATCACGACTTTTGCATAGATCTGAAAGTCCCTAGCAAAGGCAATTTCTTAAGTGACAGTCTAAATGCAGCAGATACACAAGAATTGCTTTACAATCTATTCAGAAGGAATAGCTGTGCTGCTATGAACATTTGTTGATATAATAATTGTGGCATAAAATAAATTGCATGGAAACTAACCTATTACGGATGTGGCAGTGCCGTACTGTCACTAGTTCTTTTCTCCCTAGAGATGAGAAAACAACCAATGAACATTCAAGTTGTTATCACCTGATTTGACCTATTTGTGAGCAGCTGAGTGAGCTTGTTTAATTTTTTTAACCTTACTTACCATTCTCATTTGCCTGTCTTCTGGTGTAGTTAAACTTCCAGTATCTACTGCTCTTGTACATTTAAATCAGTGTTTCTGCGGGTGACATGTTAAAATGCATTAGTTTGATTTGCTCTGTGTTAAATGTATTGTTTTTTTATCTTAGCTTACAAACAAACTAGTTAGATGTATGCTTCTGGGGAAGGAAGATAAAGAAGTGGGAGAGAAGGAGCTTTAGTCTTTGTCAGTGGGTCTCATCTCTTGATGTATAGAGTCAAACAAAAAGCAAAATCTTTTTATTCCTCACAGTCTAAAACCCAAGAGTTCAGGTCAGGGACCTGAGATAGGTTACTTATCAATTCGATTTCGCCTCCCTCACATGCTTAAACTTAAAGAAGTGCTTATGTGGATTACTGATGTAACCTTCCTGCTAGGTGGAGCCAGCAGCATCCAGGACCAGGTTCAATATCTAGAGGTTCCTCTCCATCCATCCAACAGAACTGACTTGAATCCCCACTCAGTAACCTGGGAAATTCACAGTGGTCGGGGGCCAGGATGGGGATGTGGGTGCAGTCTATGCCCTCCCCCCTGCAATTGGGGAATCCCATGGTGGCAAAGTTAACAATGATGGAATCTGTGTTCCCCATGGTGATGAGCCTCCTCAGCAATATGGTGTTGTTGGCCTTGACTACCTGTATGAACATGGCTGCAGCCATGGATTTTCCCACACCAAACTGATTCCCTATGGAGCAGTAGCTGATCCACCAGTCAGTATTGGTCTCCCTCCACCAGAAGTGGTGTTCAACAGTATGCAGGGGACTGAGGATCATTTGCAGCATCAGGAGTGCCAGGGCCTGCACGAAGAGGTCCCTATGTCTGGGCTGATCATCGTCGTCCTGAATCACCATGTGGGCAGTGTGGATAAGCTGCGCCAAGCCGCACAGCACAAGCCCTGTCAGGCTGTCACTGCTTTGCAGCAGCTCCGGCTCCATGTAGTCAGTTCTGTGGTGTCCACAAGGGCAACCAGAGCACACAGCATGAGTTTGGTGTCCCACAAGGGGTGGGGGAGGCAATAGAGAAGTGTTGTGTGAGATGTGGTGTGATGGACCAGGCCGGGTCTGGGCACCGCTGAGGGCATCCACTGAGGGCAAATTGCTCAAAACCAGGGCTGCTTACAGCCCTAGACTGGAGACCTTTTCCAAACAGGTCACAAACCAGTCACACAGAGCGCTTCAGCTGCTGTCTGGCCAGCAGGAAGCCTCATGAGCAAAACCCCTCAGACACTCCAGCTCTCCCTGTGCCACAATCAGCCCCAGGCCTTACACACAGGTGAGTGGTTATAGAACCCAATCTCACCTACCTCAAATGGATTCTCCTGGTCCCAAAGAACCAGCCACAGATTTCCAGTCAATTTACACTTTAGATCTTACCCACAAGATCACACTGGGCCAATCCTTTAGAATCTAAAATCTAAAGGTTTATTAATGAAGGAAAGAAAAAGTTGAGAGTAAGGTTATTAAGGAGAGTACTTTACATGCACTGGTCACCAAGTTCTTGATGCAGGCTTTCATCAGAGATGTGTAAACTGCTAGCTTAAAAGTCTCTGGTGTACATCCTATGTCAGGATGGGTCAACAATCCTTCCCGTCTCTCTGTCCCTCGCAAGGCTGCATCTGGGATCAGTAGCAGAATTGAAGACCAGATGGAGTCCACCTCATGGCACTTTATATCCATTCCTGGTACCTTCCCAGCTGGAGCGGGTCACACGGCCAAGTGACCTATCCCCGTGTCCCATGCCAGCAGTCATTAGATACTGACTTGTTTGCAGGTTTCCAGGCGCATTCCTCAGGTATGTATTGAGCACCGTGAGAGCCATTGTCCTTGGCGCCATGCTAATTAGCATAGTCATTGACTGAACAATCCTTCTTTACAACAGGCAGTCCAGGCCCATTGCTCTGTCTCAGGCAGAGAACATTTAGAGTACAAGCACAGAGCCCATATTCATAACTCCGCATGCAGATAGCACACAAGTACATGAAGAGCATATCTAGAATCAGTAGAACATAATCTTTCATTTGATACCTCACACGGCCCCCTTTGTACAGACTTTGGGGCAAACACCCTCCATGGGTGCTGCAGTGATCTGGCTGCTGCCCTTAAAATCCAATAACGTGACATGTGGCTGTAGAAAGGAGCCCCTGTAAGCACGTGTCTCAGCTGGCCTCAGCAAGTGGCTACAGGAAATGTCCGTTCTCCTGGTGCCTGCCCCAAAGTGCTTCTGGGGGCTTGTGATGGGGTGTACCAACCCCGCAATGGCAGGGGGGCTGGAGGACAGGCTTATTGGATGGAGCAGGCGCTCCCCCACAGCCTTGCTGGGCATGCTCACACTGCAGCCCTAGTATAAAGGCCAGAGAGGCTGATCAGTTGGGGCTGGCCACCAGAGGTTTGTGGGGGGTGGGGAGGAGGAGCTCCTGCCCTAACCCAGGAGCAGCAGGCTGATGAGCAGCCGTAGCCAGCGAGAGCTGCAGCCCATTCCCAGAGGGAGCCACAGCCCGTGGAGCCGCGGCTGGAGAAGCACCCAAGCCAGAAGGAGCAGCTGCCTGAGGAGTGGCAGCCTGATGCCAAAGCACACCCTATGCAGCCAGACAGGGGTAGGAAGTAGCCCAAGGGCAGGGAGCCAGAAGGCACCCAGTGAGCTTGGCGAGATTCGGAGGAATTCCCTGCTGAGCTGGTGGTTGGGAACATGCCCACCACCAACAGGGCCCCGGGCTGGTGCCCGGTGGCGAGGGTGGGCCCAGGACCCCATACCCTTACCCCTAGGAACCCCAAGTAGGGGGAGCACAATCTCTTATATGGACTAGGCTGCTGGGCCTGACCTTGATTGACTAGGCCACCAGGCCGGACTGACCAGAGGTTGGAGCCGGGCAGCAGACTAAGCTGCTGGGGCTACTGGTGAGGGGTTGGTTCATGGCGTGTGACCCCTCGGAAGAGGATGGGTCAGGAGGCCCTATCACAGGGCTTTAAATGCGAAGCAGGTTCCACTCAGTGTGGGTATGCTATTCTGAAATAATTCTGTGCTATTACAATGCTGCTTTGTAGTGTAGATGTGCTCTTTCAAAATAGTTATTTCGGGAGTTATTATTTGAATAAGTTATTTTGAAATAATTTCCTAGTGTAGACATGCTCTTCAAGTAAAAACATGACTTACTGAGAAGTACAAAAAATAACTCATAAGGTACATTAATTAAACTTTCTAACACTGATCAGATGGGAGGGCGTGGACTTCATTAGGCAGTAGGAGGTGTTGGGTTTTATTTTAAAACCCTAACAACAAAGAATAAGCAGTTATTTGGCTTTTGTTTTCTTCCCTTACTTAGCTGTGTGTCAGAATTTAAAAATTCTCTCACGTCTACCCAATACCCTTATTAACTACTGCAACTGAGAAATCCTGTGAAGATGTATGCATGAATGCAACATTGTGCACATAGTTCCCAGTGACTTTAATGGAACTTCTCAAGCATAATGATAGACAAGTGCTTAAATATTTGCAGGATTGAAACCTAAATGTTGTATTACTAGGTGCTGTGACCCTTAAGGATACTTCTATGCATGCAAATTAATTGAATCCTTATAAAATACATTAGACAAACTACAGAAATGTGTTAGGCTCTTTGCCTTATGAGCCTACACGATCATGCATTAGATGAACTGTAAATTTAAATATTGATACGCCTCCATCGAGTCTTGAAAGATTCTATGGCAATTCTAGAAAGAGGTGTGTAGGCCCTGTTGGTTTTGTTGTATATAGTTTAAAAGTGGGAGACTTGTTTTTTGTGGATTTTGCTTTTTTAAATTTACAAAAGTTCTGCTTGACTGCAGCCATTTTGTTCTTTAAGTTGCTGCAGCTTGTTTTGTTTATAGTGTCTCTGGGGCAGAAACTGCTGTCTTTTTATTATGTGCGTGCATAGCGCTTAGGGTCCATGGATGCTACAGCAATTCAAATAACTAGTCAAAAGCACCAAGGATATATATATATATATATCTTTTGGATATTTTACCCTTTTTATTGTGATTATTGGCTTTCCCTTGAACTATAGTGTCACTTTTTAGATTTAAAGGACCAAATTCCCTACTAGCATAACCCCATAAGCTTTCAGTGAACATGCCAGCAAAAAACTGGACCCAAAGTAAGCTTCTTTTCACAAACAATAAAACCAAAGAATGTCCTGTTGAAATCAAATTTAGTATGGAAATGAATGGTCTAAAATTCATATCAAGAATTTGATAGGAATTACTGCAGTTTGGACCTCTCTGGTCTGGCACCCTGGGGACCTGACCCGTCCTGAAGGAGGGAATTTGCCAGACCAGGGGAGTCCCCTGCTACCTGCCCTCCAGCTTGCTGCCCCTCCGCATTGCTGGCCCCAGCTACATCCCCCTCTGGGCTGTCATGACCCACCTGTCTTGCAAGGCTGCCATGCTGCTGTGGCGCTGGCAGCCTTGGCCACGTGTCTTCCTGCCAGTGGTCTCCCAGCGTGAACTCCCTGGTACAGGAACATCCATGGTCCTACTGGGCCATAATGTTGCTGGACCAGAGAGTCCCATTTTTGAGAGGTCCAGCCTGTATATTTGTTTCCGCACAGCAGTCATGTTGTTGAAAAAGCTTCTGCATTTCATCTCTGACAGTTGGTGATTCTTGTAATTGCAGATTACTAAACTATCTGAAAGCTGTAAGATCCTTGAGTAGTACCATATTTATAGCGATGACTGAATTTATTATTTTTATTATAATTTACTTAATATTCATATAATATCTACAGAGAAAAGC